AGTCATCGTGGATGTTCGCTGAAAGCAAAAAAAAAACAGAAAAGAAAAACGTTACTGCAGTTAAAGCGTCACACACACACACACACACACACCTCGTAGCAGCAAGCTCCACCATAAAACCTAACCACTTCTCCGTCTCTCTATGTCTGTTTGTCTGTCTGTCCCGTCCCTGACACACGCAGGCACACATGCACACACACTCCTGCCCACAGGTCCAGATGTATTCATTAAGTAAACAAGCAGGAGAGATGGACGCTGAGGGCTACTTCGCCTCTTCCCTTTCTTCGCGGAGGAGAGACAAAGCTCAGAAAAGATTAAACAAAAATAAATGCTGGAGTGCGGTGAGACGCAAACACGTCAAAACATCGTGACGGTTCGCTAAGCTCTCTTCCTCACACCTCGCCCACTTTATTTCTCGCTTCGCATTATACAGCTTCTTCTGGAAGAGGCTCTGCTCCGTGAATCATACCGCAATCACACCAACCCTGGTCGACAGGAATGGGAAAAAGAGTTAGATACACCCGCTTCAAAATTGTTTTAAGCCGCTCCACATCGGCAGAGAAGTAGTTTGCTTTTTTGTTATCCTCCAATTCAATTTCAATGCAATCGGTGATGATTGCAGTTTGCCCATCCTCAAGCTCCAACGTGCAAACACCTGTTCCAAGGTTTGTAATAACCGAGGGGTAAAACTGGGACATCATGTGATGAAAGCACTTCAAACGGAAAATGCGATCACTCCCAGAAATTTCAACAGGAAGAGGATCCGTACTATCAGTACCATGCTCAATGTGCATAATTTTTGTCAAGGCAATGCACGTGACGTCCGCAATAAGATCATTGCGGTGACTCGATGTCCAAGTAATAGTCAATGTCGTTTGAGACCTGGCACTTTGCTGCACATCCACGCTCACGTTATCACAGACCGTAATACGAGTGGTGCTTGTAGTGTGATCAACTTCACGTCCGTTAATTTCCTCAGGCACTACATCTTGCTGCTGCGGGGTGACCCCCTCGAACATTTGACTCTGAGCAAAGTAACGCTGCAAAACTTCTAGTACTTCAAGTGCCGATTTGTAACGAGGTAGGGGCAGCACCATGGCCTGCTGAATCTGTGCCACGTTCAGGTCTGTAAAAAGTGGAATTTCGATGGGGTGCACAATGCTGTATGAGTGCTTCCCGGAGACGAGTAATGCGCCACTAACAAAGTCCCCGTTTCTTGCAGGAACTGTTGCCAATGCTCCCATCACTTTAGCTGTGCGCTGCACAGTGAAGGGAATGCGTATGGCCTCCTGATTTTTTGTGGAGTAGACCTTCATTCCACGCTCTGCAAAGTCCTGCTGAAGTTTATTCTTCAGCTGACCCATGGCGCCAACATTTCCGTGAACAAGAATCACATGTTGTGTCTTGGGTAGAGCCTGAATAAAGTCACGCGTCTGTCTGCCATCTGAGTGAGCAGAGAAGGAGACAGACTGAATGGTACGCATGCGAAGAGGTAGCACTCTTCCATCTGGCTTTGTGACTTCCTTCGGTTTTGCAAGAATATCCTTCGCGATGGTGCCATCAACGCAATACCCGGCAACAATGATACCGTTTCGCCTATCACCGCACCATCGCTCAAAAAGTTCCAGTGAAATCCCAGATTGCAGCATGCCAGGTGAGGCCAATACAACACATGGACCTGTGTCTTCAAAGGAACGTGTGTCCACAAGGGAGTGAATATATTTAAAGACGAATGGATTACGATGATTCGCATGCTGCTGCTTCACACGGTCGTTCATAGCGCTAACAAATGTCTGATATAATTTCATGCATCGTTGCGCCAGCGAAGAGGCGTAGTAAATAGGAATATGCTGCAATTCCTTATGTCCTTCCCAATATTCTTCAAGAATAAGAAGTAACTCCTGAGCACGACCCAGCGCAAATACGGGCACCAGGCAACGTCCTCCACCCTTTACAACATCATGAACCCATGTGGTAAAGAGTGTTTCTCGTTCTTCACGTGACTCCAGTTCACGTATTCCATTTGTACTCTCCGCAATAAGAATATCGGGTGAGTAGGTTGGCACCTCCGCGCCCAACAGATGGCGATCCGGAACGCGGGAAAAATCCCCAGTGTAAAGTGCTTTCATACCGGCAATGTCAACCATAAAAAGCGCCGCTCCAAGGACATGGCCCGCATTGAAGGGTTGAAAGCGAATACCATTAACCGTAACCTCCTCATGATATTCTACCGTTTCAATCTTTTCAATGGTGCTTTGCAACCATTCGTTTGTCACAATATCGTTGGCACTTGCACCGACACGCAAAAAGTCATTCATCACCATCTTGTAAAAGGCCTTGGTTGCGCTTGTCATGAAAACACGCCCTTTAAAGGCGGTTTGCTCGCAAAAGTAGGGCAGCGCCCCACAATGATCGAGGTGGAAGTGAGTGATAAGCACAACGTCAATCTCATCGCAGCGAATACTGTCAAAAAAGGGAAGAGAATCTAGGCCACTCTTCGCCGGGTGATTTCCGCAATCCAGCATCACGGAGCGTCCCTTGTAGCGAAGAATAACACAGGAACGGCCAACTTCCCCTCCACTACCAATTGGCAGAATTTCCACCTCATCTGAAGAGGCTGAGACAGGGACGTCCGAATCTCTGAAGGCGTTATCTAGCACTGAGCCAGTTGATTTGTTGTGCGCAGCAATGGCTGCTGCGGTGGCGGGGAGCATCGTTACGCTTTATTGCGCTAAAACCTAAAGATGATGAACAGCCACAACACAGAAATGCGAAGAAGAGAGAAGAAGAAGAAAAAAAAAAAGGTGTCAAATAATAATAATAAAACAACCAAAAAACACGTCACACTTCAGGATCCCCATCAAACAAAAGCAGATGCTCCCCTCCTCGCCCTTACATTTTCTTTTCTTTTTTTCCGTCTAATCGAGAATATGACGCTCCGATGAAGCATATATAATTCTTTGGATGTTGTTCGAAAAGGATTTACCTTCCTGGAGAGCCTCCAAGACAGAACGTTTCACTGTCAATAAAGGATTTGTTCTTTGTTCGATGGCCAACGTTGAGGGAACCGTGCAGGCTGGTAGCATCCAGGGTGTGTTAATCACCCCCCTCAATGACACGGAGTTGCCGATGTAATCTGGTTTACGCGCGGACCGCAAAAGGCGTGTGGATCGTTTAGCCTGACTCAATGCCTTGCGATACTTACGCATTTCTGGATTGACTTCTTCCTTATTGGGATCCTTCGCGTGCAACTTCAGCATTTCCGTAATCAGGCGCTCTGTATACTCGTGCCCCACGTACACTAACACATCATCTGCTGAGAGTATTTTATTCGTTGCAGGATGCGTCCGCAAACGATCGCTAAAAAACAATTCCCGTGTTTGTACCACTTCATCAACGGATGTAACCTCAAACATGGCACCGCAACCTCCGCAGAAAATACAATCCCCCGTGAAAACTGCCAGACGTTGTGGGCCATGAGGTTCCATGCAAACTTCTCCCACAAGAAACATAACAGAGCCAACGGTGTGTCCAGGAGAAGAAAACACAGCGACTTCCACGCTTCCACCTGCAAGCGACAACACTTCGCCACCCTCAACAAAGTTTGTACACGCATGAGGTTTGTCAGTCACAGAACCGTAAATTTTCAACTGAGCGTCCACGAGTTTCGTGGATTCCGCATCGCTGCTGCTTTGTGAACATTGTTGAAGCTCCAGATTACCTCCTGCGTGATCCCAATGTTTGTGGGTGGTAAGGATGTCCGTCAGCACAAAATCCACCTCTGTTAAGTGACGGACGACAGTCAGAATGTACAGTACGAGTTTGGGGTCTGCTGGATCGACCGCGACACACCGCTTCGTAGAGAAGCTCAAAATCAAGTATGCGTAATTGTCCGCCAGTATAGGGACTGGAACGACAGAAACCCCCCTATAGCCTTCCTTGTACGCTTCACCAAGACTCTTTAGGTCAACCAACCCCCCACCTCGTTCATAAAAATTTGAGTTTGTCTTCAATTCTGCAGGAAACAACAATGATGGTTTGTGAACATCACTCAAAGATCTCACACCATGGCGGTAGTCAGAGTGAGGAAGGTCCTGTCGTGCATGAAGCATCGGTCGCACGTACGTGTACCCAATAGTATGCGTGCAATAAAGATGATATAGCCCAGTAAATATATTTCCTTTGAACCACATTTGGGGGAAGTACTCGTTTTCCGGCACAAGACCTGATAAATAAATAAAAAGAGTCATAATCACTGTGGTTGGTATGCCTGTTATTCCTGAAATACAGAGCGAGCCAAGCCCCCCCAGGAGGAGGGAGGGGCCTATGAGTTGTTGCAGCCCTATTCCGCCGCGTGCTACTGGGCTCGTCATGGAGTTCCACACCTTGTGCTGCGACAATAACAAAAAAAAAAAAGACAACGCTGTTATGTATAGAGCCAAATAAAAGGAGGAGTATGAATGCACATGTTTGCATGTACGTATGAGTGCGGATCACCCAGCAACGAAAAGATCGACTCCAACAGGCGAAATATGCAAGTATCCGCCCACGAAAGATGGAGCAAAAACAACAAAAAAGAAAGGGAAAAGACGATTATTTGCGGTAACGTCACACCACGTACGTTCCCTGGGAGAATAGCGAAAGAGACCCCCTCTCCATACACACACACATTAGTATCAGAGAGAGAGAGAGAGAGAGAGTGAGAGAGTCAGGCAATAACTCGCTTCGGCATGAGGACCAAATCCTCAACAAAACAAGTAAAGCCCAAACAAAAATAAAATATAAATAAACAACGAAAAAAAATCACAATAATTAAGTGCCTTCAAAAACAAGAGCAAAACCACAATATACATACATAGAGGAAAAAATAGCAACGATCAGTATACGCACACACTCCTTTAGTCGCCCAACAAGTGTGGGCGGCACACACACGCACACATACAGAAAGATTTGCATAAAAGCCGCACCTCATACGGATTGCAAGCATTAGTACACCATCATTTTTGTTGTGTTCATTCACAGTACAAAGATAGTGAATATAATAGAGAATAAAAAATGAAAATAAAGGGAGTATTAAATGTACATGGGCGCCTCGCTCATCTACTCAGCATCATTATACATTGCAAAAATAAATAAATAAACATTAAAGAACAAAACAAGTACAATAACAAGAACGGTTACACGCAAAACCAACGGGAACTTTTCAATGTTCCCTTACAGTTTGTATTGCTGCCTTATTGAACTGGTGTGTATTTGTTCCTGAGGTTCGTCATGCATAAATGCGGGTGAAGGGAAAAGAGAAAATATTTTTTTAAAAAAACGACAGAGAAACAACAAAAAAGTATTGGTCAAGAGATGTTCAATTTGCACGGGTAAAAAAAAAAAAGAAAAAACCATCAGACGCACACCCATTCTGCAAATGCAGTGGTTTTCCTTCTCCTTTATTTCCCTCTTTACTTTGTATATAAGGCGACCACGTTCTGGTGCGCGGGTGTGCATGTGGGTGCGTGTAAGTTTGGGGAGGATGCGGTGAGAAGCAGTAGACTCACAGATGAGGAGAAAAACGTTTGCTCACAGTGCACGCAAGTTCCCACCTCTTCTACCGCCATAAAACAACGTCCGCTTAGTTTTGTTGTCCTGCTCACGGCCGACAAAAGGGCTGAAAAATGCATTGTAGACCCAAGAGCGCCAATATGCTCACATGGGAAAGCACATCCGCATGAAACAACTGTGATGAAAACGCTGACATCACAGTTTTATTTCTTATTTTGTTCTTTTCATTTGGGCAGACCGCAAAGTATTGCGTTGCGGACGTGGATGGTGAGATGGCACAACCCAGCTATAGGAATACACTTCATTCTGCTGCAGGATATGATGTCGTAACTCTTCTAGTTTACAAACAGCCATATCCACATAACTGTCCAACTCGTGCATCGCAACAAATCGTCGTCGACCGTCCTTCACCAATTCTAACTCCTCTCCTCCCACCATCAAAGCGTACCGGAGGCCCAACTCCTGAAACATTCGTGGGGACAATCGATTTCTACTTCGTTTTAACAACGTGAGATTCTTCTTATACATATCAATTTCATCAAGCGTGGCCCAGGTCGTGACTCTCATCAGTCCGGAAGAAGGATTGTAGTATATTCTTTGTTGTTGGCTTGGTAGAGACTCAACAACTTCTATCCTGGACAGATGAGAGCATCCAGGTAAAAATTTGTCGGTTGGTTCAAACAGTACAGTCGCATCCAGTTGAGCCTTAGTTGATTTACGCTTCCATGCAGTAGAAGCCATGCAACGAAGACGTTTCTCTTCATACCAAATTCGTTCCACAAATTCCTTTTCATTTAACCTTGTAACTAAAATTTTTTCTCCATGGGGCAATAATTTGTACAGCCCTTTTCCAGGAATGGGAATAGCAAAGAAAAGTGGCCCTTCAAGCTCCCCTGCCATGTGCTTGTCCTTCCTGCTTGCAATAGTATTTACAATATGAAATATTTCATTGTTTTCATCCTCTGGATCTAGCGTAAATGTATTCCACAGACGAGAATTCTGTGGCGGGTATTGATGAAGCGATTCCATTAGCTGCTTTGCAGTGGTCGGTGGTGTGTGGTTTGATGGCACCACACCCATCTCAGTGGCTTGAATTTCGTTTTGGACGAATGCGTTGTGAATCATCTCCTGCCTTTGATACAAGCAGTCAACGTACTCCTTCAAATTCTCTTTAGTAACACCGATATTGTCCCCGCACTCTTTAAGAAAAATATCCTGACCCAGGACTCTTATTGCAAAACAGAGGCCCACAGCTTTGGCAGGATCGTTCGTGATGGCTTCAACGGTATCCCAAAATGCTTTCTCTGATGGCGGCATATTATCGATCAGTGGATGTGGCGAAAATGCAAAGTTACTGGAACGTGTTGGCGGTGCCATCGTTTCCATCAACTTGGCTATTGCCAAGCTTACAAAGAGATCCTTGTCTTCATAGGCCACACGCTCATGCTCTTTACCAGGTATGAGAGGAACAAAGGTGTTTCCTGTTGGTATGCTGTAAGTAAGGCCAATGGCATCAAATTCTTCCACGCTTAAAATACGCCCAAAAGGTCCGTTCATCCTCTGCAAAGTATGTAAAAAATCCAAGTAGCCGCGCGACTTTATTGACAGCAGCTGCTGCTGAAGTTCTTCCAGAGGGGCAAAAAACTGAGCAGAGAGTTGATGCCCTGCCGTGAGCTGTTGCAGCAACCTCATTGCATTTATTCCAAAGCGCTTGGCATTCCAGTATGGAACCAATGCATTATGCATTCCAGGAAAAACATCAAACAACTTCCCATTAAAGGGTAAACAATAGGTCACGTTGAGGGCGTCCCAGTCCTCCTCATTATCAATGTACCACTCCGAAGACAGGTTCAACAAGTGCTCAGTAATAAAGGAGGCTACTGGGTAATAGTCCCCACTGAGGTGCAGCTTAGGATCAATGGGCAAATCACGCAACAGGGCAGGCAAATTATGTCGCACGTTATGAACCAAGCTCAAGAAATACCTATAATTTTCTGCAGTAACCTTGACAGAAATTCCGTTGGGAAAAAGTTCTGTCATCGTACCGTCCTTATTTGGGAAGGCGAAGAAGACTTTATACCCATCTAATGCTGAAGCCCCGTGATCTTTCAGACAAACCAAAAACTGATCGAAGTGTTCTACAACAGCCCGGTAATACTCCTCCGCGTGTTGCTGTAGACCACTTTGCAGAGCTTCCACCACTTTTCTGGGGGCACGCAGCCTTTGCTTCTCCGCGTCCCAAAACGCCAAATCCACGAGTTTTGATAGAAATGAACGACAGAGGTACCCATCCGATGAGAGTCCCATGGAGGCCCCTTCTTTTTCCATCTACTTTCGTCCTTTTTGCCTTGTGTTTTTTTTTGTTTCTCTTTTGTTTTTGGCGTGCCCTTTTACCGCCCCCCTTTCTTCGCTAACACAATCAGTTGACTGCCCGTTTGCCTCGCCACTCCGCGTCGCTGCTCTGCAGACTGGAAAGAGCTGACGACAACACTGATGAACAATATGTAGGTGACTATAAGGCAAGATACCAAAGTAGAGAGCGAGGCAACGTGCGAGCGCATTATTCCTGAATTCCATCACAACGGAAACAGCAGTCGAACATGTTCCTGCAAAGAGAAACACTCTGGTGAAAACCACACCAGTGGATTAAGGCACACACAAAACCCACTTCCAAACAAAGGAATATAAACAGATAGTATATTTTTTTTTTCTTTTTTCGTCCTCCCTCTTTTCTGTGTTTCGGTACGTCTTGAATACCCTAAAAAAATGATTCTCTTATGTTGTTTTCAGACACCCATTTTTATTGTTTGCCTGCATTCAATTATCCACCCCCTTCCCCCCCTCCCACATACATCCCTCTTCTAGAGGATGACTCATTTCTGAGCTGTCCCAGCCATGTATTCATCAACTTTCGACTACTCGTATCCATTTTTTTTTTTTTTTTCCTACCGTCTCGTACTTTTACTTCCCTCTACTGTATTAACCTCGAAATGCATATGCGCCAGTGCAAGAGGAAAAACAGACTCTGTACAATAATCTACATTTTGGAGAAGGAAAGTAAATGAATGCACTGCGACGCTTTCCATATACCTTTGGGCGGGAGCGTCACCTCCTTTAATATGGAACCGTGCTCCACGCAGACAAATTTCTTGTAGCCGTCAGTGGGAAGATCCTTCATTCTGGCTGTTTTCGCTACCCAAGGATTCCACACCACAACATCTGGAAGATGTTCACTTGATATATGCGTCGTCCGAGGTTTCCCCATATCCAACAACAATACCGCGCACTTTTGATTATTGTAGATGCGATCCACCTCTTTTGTAAAGGTCCACAGCTGCTGTGGAACTTGAAGGTTGCGTTCGTTTGACAGATTATCAATGTAAGAGGTCAAGTTCACCCCATTAACCAAAGTACGTGTGACGTCTTCAACCGCAAAATATGTGTGAAACGCAAACGTAAATTTAACATTCTCGTCAGGAACATGACTTGCGACTTCCATCTGCAGCTGCAGCTGCTTGTTGTTGAATGTGATAGTGTACAACAGGGTAACGTTGCCTACCAACGATGTATTCTTGTCTTGTTTGACTTCCATCTTCTGCGTCTGAAGATCAGTTGCGGGCACTTCCAGTATGAAGGATGCCATTCCGCTTTGTACTTCATTCACCTTCCACTTACGAATACGCGCAAAACCGTGCGAAGGAAGCGATCCAAGATTCCCAAACTGTGGAAAGATGATGGGAACCCCACCTCGAATTGGCGTCCCTTCCTTATACACGGCAGCCGGGCTTGTGTACAGAAGCTCCTCACCTCCCGCATTGCGCCAACTGGTAAGGTGGGCGCCCTGCGTGTGCACAGTGATGGAGGAGCCATCGCTGTGTTTTGCCACAACAACCGATTGGGTCATTGAATCCAACGAAAGAAGAAAAGAGACTTAAATCGGAAAAACTAACACAAAAGCACAAAGTACTCAACGGGCTTTTGTTTTTCCTTCGCCAGAGATGTCACACTAACAGGCAAATATTAATTTTAACGCCAAGACGGGAACAAAACCAAAACCAAACGAAAACCCCAAAGAAAAGCGCGAGGAAGGGAAGAAGTGCCATTACAAGCACGCATACGTACATACACACACACAGGAAGAAGAAGAAAAGCAACCAAAATTGGACCAATATTTTTATTCAACCACCTTTGTAAGGCAACCTGACATATTTTTGTTCTCCCATTCTTCTCCCTCTGCCCCTGGAATTAAAAAAATGGGTACGGTGGGGGCGGTCGGCGCGTCAAAATGGCTTTAATCTTCTGTTTGCACCACGAGTCATGCTGTTTCTCAGCGAGCAGGTAGTCTGCGCGGAACTTCTTCGCCTTGTCTGCCGAAAGCATGAGCATTTTCTCGTTGTGTTTGATGATGCGTTCCACATCCGTGTGCATGTGGTGCTGTATAAATGCCGCAACCTCAAGACCTATGCCCACGAGCTGCCGAATCGCCTCCTCGTCCGTTTCGCCGGAATACTTATAGAACTCCACGAGCACTCGGTGACGCGACCAAAAGAGTTTCGATCGATCGTGAAAGTATGCCGCACGCAGACTCTTCATGAGCTGCCGGTAGCACAACTGCTGAGGCGTCCACAGCAACCCTCGGCCTGTGGCCGTCTCACCGGATACGTGAGCCACCGCTGGAGCATGACAGGCCGTGAGGCGGCTGCAACGCATACACCGCTCTTACTTAATGACCCCACCCCGTGTGCGTGTGTGTCACGCGAAGCGATGGCAAAAAGAAAACAAACATCACAAACACAAGTATACATATAAATTATATTTATATATTTATATATAAATATATCTTACGCGCACGCAAACAAACAGACAAAAACAAAACATCTGCAAGTTACAAGATGCGGGGACAATGCAAAGAGAGAAAAAAAAAACAAGTGGAAAAGTGTGGGGAAAAAAATATCCAGTTGAGATGATGAAGAATCGCCCACGCAAAAAATTTAAACTAATCAAAGATCCAAGAAGTGTGTCATCGGCCCCTCTGACTCTATTTTCAGCCCTTGACGATTTCCGTACGTTCCGTTAATGACAAGACCGCCTTGTTGTAACTCCAGGGAACCAACTGCTTCATTTACCGGTACCCCGTTCTCATCCACGGAGGATGCGTCAATGCCTCTTGCCGCCCGAAGCAGTTGACAAAAGCGGTCGTACAACCACAATCCCCGTGACTTCTCCACCAGTGCGTGGAACTGAACGCGGCGACCCTTAAGTTTTCCCCCAAGTGAGGCCTGCGGAACGACAAGAATGTCGGCATCACGGTAGTCGTTCAGCGATACAATGGAGGTCGTTGAGGCATTCTCAGGCAGGCAGCGGTGGACTAGCACTCCACTCATGATGGTCGCAACGGCTTGCTCAAGCGCAGCGTCGTCCACGTCCCCCAGGAAGGCGACGTAAATGGCAACCCCACGACCAACCGAGACGTAGCGTCCGACGTTATCGACGAGGATCGCTCCCTTCTCAATAGACTGCAACAACACACGAATTGTCATTACCCGCAGAGACTAGCGCCAAATAATAATAATAAAGAGACACACCCACACATATAACTCAGAGTAGCCCGCCATACACAAACACATTCCAATAGAACCTCCCCAGCCACCAACTCACTAGATCACAAACGCAATGCAGAAGCGAGAAAGACTCTTCCCCTTCCTTTTGTGCCACTTAAACGTAGTTGAGATCCAACACCACAACCTCACTTTGTTGCGATTACCCCTTTTCTCTCTTTTGGGTCAGTTTCCAGTTACTGCTTTTTAGTCGCAAACTCAAATAAAAAAGCTTGAGAACAACAACAACGAGCTCATACTCTAATTCCCTCCAATCAACTCACCGTCCTGCAACCACTAAGGTATTCCATCAGCTTGATTCGTCAATGGTCTATAGATGACACACGTCAACGTCCCTCTCAGCATGCATCAAGCGCGATTGCCACCTCGGGACAGTTAGCTACACAACGCAAAAAGCCAATGCCCCCTCACACCACCTGACGCATCCTCTTTGTCAAGAAAGTTAGATGACGGTGTGCAAAGCGCCCAATGTAGATTTAAAAGAAGCACTATGTACAACGCTTTTAGATCAGGCCATTATGTTGCACTATCCCTGCTCCCACAAGATACACTATCGATCGTGGTTTGCAACGCAGCTGAGCACGTAGATATCCATTAGTCACTGCCGAAGCTGCCAGACGCTTTCCGTTGTCTTTTAAAATGTCGCCAAAAAAAAAAAGCACCCTCGCAGTTGAAATTTGTAACCTCACAGCCGTCCACCATGACGACGTAGACATAACGCAATCCCGACTGCCCAGAAGTCGTTTCCGCCATCACAACAAAAAAAAACAAAACAGCAACAGCTATTCGTTCCTGCTGAAGCTATTACCTGTCATGAACGCCACATCGGACCTCTTGCGCCACCTACGCTATTACAACCTGAAGAAAAACGGATTGCACAATTGATATCTTCTTTTTTTTCCCCCTCTTTGATTGTCAAAATATTTCTTTTTTTTCTCTCGACAAACACAGAAAAAAAAGGCAAAGAAAAATAAGGTAAACCCAAGAACCCCAATCAAAAGCAGCAAGGAGGGAGTCATGAAACGTCAGAGGCACATGCTGACGCCACACACGGTCCGAAATTCAACCCATAAAAATGTCGAACAAACATAATTCACTGTAAAATCCACCTCCCCGATTCCCCTCCACAATGTATTAATATGATAACAAAACCAAACCCCGCATATATACACAAAAAAAAATAAGAGCAGAAGAAACATGCACGACGTCAGTCCTTACCGGCCTGCCGTAAAAAAAAAAAAAACTGCCGGAGGCAATGAATACCTTCACGTGTATTAAATGCGCATAGAAAGCGACCACGTGCATCACGTGGGACTTTGAAGACCTTCACACGACATGTTCCTTAACCAAACAAACAAAAATTGGCTAGGAATAAGCGGAACCATTAAAGGTTAACAACAGCAGCACACAGGGGGAAGAGAGAAGAGAACACCCAAATACAAAAACTTGCAGTGAGCGTGTAAAAAAAGTATAAATAGCAATAATCCATTTAACCAGACGCCGCATAATCTTCAGTTGAACATCTCGTAGACACCACCGACAGCTGCAGCAACGACAACGAGGGCTTATTCTCCTCCTTGACGGGTACTTCTGTTTCATGGGGCTCGTCGCCGGGACAAATTTCATTCATCTCCGCTTCCTCACGTTGAGATCTGTGAGGGGCAGAAAACCTGTAGACCAACAGGAGCGTTCTCACTAATATAAGCAGTGTGGCAACAACGGCGCTACTCACGATAAGTGGCAGCCTCCACCAAGGGGCTGGGGACCGTGGGAGGCCTTGCTCTTCTCCATTTACGGACACCTCTGGTTTTGTGGTGGTACTGTTGATCGGTAACTCAAATGCCACCTTGTGTATCGCACCTGAAGAAAAGGCGAGCCTTGCGTTTAGACAAGCGGTATCGTGTAAATAGGCAGGGGCTGTGCAGCGGTCCACGATCTGAATTTCTACAATTCCACGCTCGGCAGTATCTGGGAGCAAAATTCGTTCACGTATATTTCTAGCAAGAGGAAAATGTCCACTGAAAACCTCCTTCAATGCACGTAGCCCTTTCCGTTGTTCAACATTGATTCGAATGGCAAGACACATGCGATCCCACATGGGCTGCATCCCACGACCGAGAGCGGCAGCTTGTGTTCTATCAGCCCAAATCTTTTGTTTAAGAATACCAAACGCATTCACGGTGAGAGGCGAGTACGCTTGCGTGTCGAGCAAAAGTGCCAACTTTCCACTGGATGTCACGCAAACTGAGACGGTCGCAGATCCTGTGTTACTCTTGGGTACCATGTTACACAAGGCGAAACTCGTCTCTGACTCTGAGGAGGATGATGAGGTTACAGGGTTAGTGTGGGTGTCGGCATGAATATCAAGTTCCGAAATGGACGGCAAAATAAAAACGCTTCCGGCATGGACCACCGGAGAGTCTCGAGACGTGGAAGACTTCACCTGGACATAAAAATCACACTGCTCACCACCGAACGCCGCTGACTCTCTCAGAGTTAGGAAAATTGTTGATGTTGATACAACAGTCATGGAGTTTTGTAGGGGGACACTCACACGCTGCACCGAGGCGGAGGTGCTGTTGTGGGGCATCAACATTTCTGTATCAAAGCGTGTCAGTCCCTTGGAGCAATGAATTTCCACGACCACCCTGTCATCCTCCTTAGAGTTGTTTGCAGGGCTCACCACAAGAAAGGGTTCCTGATTCTCTCCGCCATCATTGGTGACGTAGACCTCCGATGGGTCTACCGCCCACGTCCACGTAGGTATGACCGCGACCTTGTCTTCTCGCGCCTTGCAGCCGTTTTCACTGGGAACTGAGTCGGTACTACAACGACAGCCACCATTTGCATCATCAAATGATCCCGGTGGACACATAACACATGCCTCCTGAGCATTCCACATATTGCCGCTTGGGCGGGTAAAACCCCAAGGACAGGGTGGCACCGGTAATTTCACATCTTTCCCCAAGCCAATCACAGTGTCTGCCGCGCTCTGAGCAACACCGTTACGAAATGTGTGTTGCGAGGAATTACGCAGAAAGGAAAAGCACTCATACAGAGAACTCGGGGCTGGACTACCGTCTGGGCCAGGGGCACGCAGTATGGCTCGTGTGACACACTCCGCCAAAGGAACGTTGCCGTCGAAAATATTATCCACATGAGGCTTTTTTGATAAGTACCCCAACGCCACTTCCAAAAATTTTAGCAGGTAATCGCGATTTCGCATGACCGTTTCATTCGAATCGCCCAACATCGCGAAACTTCGTAGTGGCCAAAGTATATCACCGGACTCTGTTTCATTCATCATATTCCAGTACGCCAGACGAACTGGGAAATCTTCAAAAAGCATCTTTGCCACGGCGAAGGAGGTCGCTACACACGGCAGACGACCCAGACGATTGACATTTTTCACCGTTTTATTGAAAAATACTTTGAAGCCCTTAAAAAGTGAATCAACCTCCTGTTCAACTCCAGTGGCAATGCGATACCCAAATAAGATCTGATCAAAATAATTTAACCATTCATCCATGAAAATGGAAGGGTTACAATCTGCTTGAGACGATAAAAGAGGCCCTCCATTTTCCGTTGCAAAGGCATCTGCATCACCTTCAACTTCTCCCACCGAGGGTTTTATCCACTTCTTTATAAGAGTCCATTTATCCATAACATCGGCGTAGGCCTTGGTAACAATTTTCGCCCCCCTCGCACTGACAGCCTCGCGAAAGGCCTGTTGATCTTCCGGAATGGCATTCTTTTCCCATCCAGCCGACACAATATTCCAAAGCCTTTTCCCAGCCACAGCAGATTCTTGTGTTAGCCTGATGGATCGCCGGAGCCGCTCACGCAACCCACGAACCCAAAGCACATTCTTCACAAACAAGTCAGCCCCTCCTCCAAACACTTTTTCAGAGAATGAAAACAATGAAGAGCGGTCACAAGAAGCCCAATAAGCTGTAGAATCCTTTATATTCATGCGGCACTGTTCTGGATTAGAGTGTAACCACGCTACGCATGGCACATCTTCCCCGTCGGAACGGAGAAAACACCCTTCCACCATGTCCAGTTTGGCCTGGGATGCGGTGGAGGATTGATTCAAATACTGCGTAGACAATGTTCCATAAAGTCGATCGAGGTCTTTGAGTGTGACAGGGAACATAAGGCGAGACGCTGCATGAGCCTCTGCCCCACATACAGATGGGATGTCTTGGTGCCCCTCAGCAGTATAGAGATATCCGCCGTCGAATGCCATAAATGGGGCCAGAGCGGATTCTGCAAGTTCAGCAGTATCAGGCATAGGTCCTTTGGGTTTAAGATAAGGGACAGCCGCATGCACGGCAACGCCTGCAGATATCAAGACCAAAGCGAATAAGGATGCGTTCATCACTTTAAGCATGATACTTTTTTTTTGTTTTGTAGTTTTTCTTTTTTCCTAGGATGTGTTTTATTGCTCTTGGAATAAAGCGAGAGAAGCCACTGCCAGGGAATTGAAGCGAGAAGAAAGAATATAATATATATATATATATATTCTTTTTATTTAGCAACGGCAAATCCGCAAAGATAATATGATGTAAACGTGAACCATGCGCTGCGGACCCCTAATTCTCCCACCTTTCCCTCAGTCACATCTCACAACAAAAATCGTAAATAACGCCAAAAACATATCAAAACTAAACTATATATAAGACAGTTTGTGTCATTGGCATAAAAATATGAGGACGCCAGTACACTTACGACAACTGAATACTCAGCAGTTCTTCAGAGGGAAATCTCATCGTCAATGTCATCAGACTACGGCACAACAGCCGATTCACCACCATCCATTTGCTTGTTCGCCTTCCTTTTGGCTCTGGGCGTCCACTGGCATCGATGGCGCATATCAAGGTTGCCACTCGCACACCGTTTTTATAGCGGCTGCTAGCGTCGTAAAGTAATAGGCACGCTCTGACGTGTCATCAGGGTCGCGCAAAACGTCAATAAAATGTTCGATAATGCAAAGCTCTGGAACATCTATCTCACACAACAAGTGCACGAAAAGTGGAAACATTTCATCCATAGAACATCCTCCATGATGCAGTCGGGCCATAAGTCCCAAATCCACGTGCAGTGGAGATAGATTGAGCTCATCCTCATTGTTATCAACAGATTCATTCGGACTGATGGGCAACACCATTTCTCGGTACTCGCTAGAGCTCGAGCGACGCAACCGGGATGCGGCGTCTGCGGAGCTGTCATCCAGCAAATGCCTCTCACTCAACGCAGGCGCATTAGTGGAGGATAACGTCGTACTGCCCAGCGACTCAGAAGAAGGTTCCTTCTGATTTGAATACGCGTCAAGACCTCCATACATCTCCTTGTCCTTATTGTCCTCCCTCTCCTCATGCTGCAAAGTTGCATTCCTGGGCTCGCATGGATCCAGACAGGGAGCACTCTTTGCTTCAGTCAATGTTTTGCTTCGCAGCAAGGGCAAAGAATGCTCATCTGCCACGGCGCTCTTGCCAACATGATGGGCTCTAGAGCTGGTTGCTGGCAAGACGGAATTCTTGTCGGGAAACCTTGCCGTCACGTAGACGGTCAAGTACATGCATGCGGCAATGTTGACTACCTGATCTATCAGGTCGTTGGGGCTTTGGAGGTTTGTCAAGGCGTCAAAGTTGCGCTGCACGAGTTTGTAGTTAATTGAACGCAAGTCCCTCGGAAGTTCAAAAACATCAGCTGACCTTCCCCGTAACAATTCACATTTTTGGTTAAACAGTACTTTTTTCCCCAATAAGGTGGTATCTTCTCGAAGAGTAGACATGATCTTGTCAAAGTTAGGCTGAATGACAGTTCTCTGTAAAACATCCTCAACACACACAGCGAAAGCAAGGCAAAACGGGGCCGGCGGAGGCTTTACACACTTATGTATCAAATCGCTCACACATTCCTCTTTTATCACGTCCAATGCACGGCGTAACTTAGTTAGATCCATGTCATCGTTTTCGCCCCTCATCTTCCAATGAAGAATTAAATCATGCAGCTTTTCACTTCCGGCGATACTTCCATTCTTCAACGCCTTGCTAATTTCCCGTTGTAACCTCAGCAAGCGTCGATTATGCCACGGATATAGACTATTCTTTGTGTCTTGCCAAACCCCAGGTAAATGAATGGTACCCATGATGAGCTCCTCCATGAGAACTCTTTTTTGCGCTTCTTTCGTATCCAAAAGAAGAGCCACAGCATTCGCAGATGCAACGTAACGTTGAATTTCAAGGACAATCTCAATAGCTTTCGGTGCATAATAATAATACGTATGATCACCAGAGACATGAAAGTAAAATGAATTCTCCCCCTTTATCCCAATTGATGTAATAGATGTGAGTGGAAAACGCTTCGTTGCATGCGGTGGCGTATCCACCTGCTGCGGTGGTTTACAATTATGTATGTGTGTGAGTGTGATCTCCAGCAGCCGCTGTTGCCGCAACCACCAATACCGATGGTGCTCCTTAACCACAGTGTAGCAGAGATCTCTCAGGATACGCGGAACACATTGGTGTTTCTTTCTCCGTCGACTCTTTACTGCGTTTTCCGGCCTGGTTTTATCTCCATCCCCACCAGACCCTCCAACATGCGCCGTCTGTCCCCCATGGCAGCTCCTCATTAAACCTCGACGGCAACGAATGGCGGGCAAAATCCGCAGCTACGTGACTGACGACAAAAGAACGAAGAGAAGGCAAAAACAACATGGAAAAAAGTCGCCACAGACGAAGGAGGAGAAATCCCTTCCTCTCCCCTCCCCACAACAAAAAAAAAAAAAAAACAAAAAAACAAAGTTATGGAAAAGAAACAAAA